TATCGTTATCAATATCGTTACTGATGGCATTGACGAGGGCACCGAGCGCTCATCGGGCAGCTCCATATCAATAATATCAATATCATTATCAATATCAATATGGTTATTGATGGCATTGATGAGGGGATTGAATTGTTCATTAGGCAGTTTAATATTATTAATATCAATATCAATGTCAATATCAATATCAATGTCAATATCAATATCATTATCAATATGGTTATTGATGACCTGGATGAGGGGATCGAGTCGTTCATTAGTCAGCTTCATCTCATCAATATCAATATTAACATCAATATCAGTATCAATATGGTTATTGATGACCTGGATGAGGGGATCAAGCTGCTCATTAGGCAGTTTCATATCAATAATATCAATATCATTATCAATATGGTTATTGATGACATTGATGAGGGGATCAAGCCGTTCATTAGTCAGCTTCATATCATTAATATCAATATCAATATCATTATCAATATCAATATCGTTATTGATGACATTGATGAAGGGATTGAGTCATTCATTAGGCAGTTTCATATCATCAATATCAATGTCAATATCAATATCATTATCAATATCAATATCAGTATGGTTATTGATGACATTGATGACGGGATCAAGCTGTTCATTAGTCAGCTTCATATCAATATCAATATCAATGTCAATATCAATATCAATATCGTTATTGATGACATTGATGAGGGGATCGAGTGTTCATTAGTCAGTTTAATATCATTAATATCAATATCATTATCAATATCAATATCAATATCGTTATTGATGACATTGATGAGGGCATTGAGCTGTTCATTAGTCAGTCTCATATCATTAATATCAATATCAATGTCAATGTCATTATCAATATGGTTATTGATGACTTGGATGAGGGGATCGAGTTGTTCATTAGGCAATTTAATATCATTAATATCAATATCATTATCAATATCAATATCGTTATTGATGACATTGATGAGGGCATTGAGCTGTTCATTAGTCAGTTCAATATTAATAATATTAATATCAATATTGTTATTGGAAATGCGGATGAGGGGATTGAGCCTTTCATTAGTCAGTTCCATATCATTAATATTAATATCAATATCAATATCAATATCAATATCATTATCAGTCGCCTGGATGAGGGCCATTAATCGGTTTAATATAGCTATTATTAATTAATATTAATATAATATATTAATATTAATATATAATATGAGCAATAGCAGTATTAACTATATATAATTAATATTTTAATAATAATTAATGAATGTGTTATACAAATAATTAATATTAATGATATTAAGCTGACTTTCAATATTCAGTTTAATATCATTAATATCAACATTAATATCGTTATTGATAACATGGATTAGAGGATTGAGCCTTTCATTAGTAAATTAATATCGTTAATATCAACATTAATATCATTATTGATAACATGGATTAGAGGATTGAGCCTCTCATTAATAAATTAATATCGTTAATATCAACATTAATATCGTTATTGATAACATGGATTAGAGGATTGCGCCTCTCATTAATAAATTAATATCGTTAATATGAACATTAATATCGTTATTGATAACATGGATTAGAGGATTGAGCCTCTCATTAATAAATTAATATCGTTAATATCAACATTAATATCGCTATTGATAACATGGATTAGAGGATTACACCTTCATTAGTAAATTAATATCGTTAATATCAACATTAATATCGCTATTGATAACATGGATTAGAGGATTACACCTTCATTAATAAATTAATATCATTAATATCAACATTAATATCGCTATTGATAACATGGATTAGAGGATTGAGCCTCTCATTAATAAATTAATATCATTAATATCAACATTAATATCGCTATTGATAACATGGATTAGAGGATTGAGCCTCTCATTAGTAAATTAATATCATTAATATCAATATCAATATTGTTATTGATAACATGGATTAGAGGATTGAGCTTCTCATTAGTAAATTAATATCATTAATATCAATATCAATATCGTTAATATCAATATCAATATCGTTATTGATGACCTGGACGGGGGGATGACGTCATCCATCAGTAGATGTAATCTCATTAATATTAATATTAATATCAATCTCATTATTGATTACAGAGATTAGGGGATCGAGCCTTTCATTAACCAGTTTAATATCATTAATATCAATATTAATATTAATATGGTTATTGATGGCATGGAGGAGGGGATTGAGCCTGTCATTAATCAGTTTAATATCGCTAATATTATTATTAATATCAATATTAATGTCATTACAGATGACCTGGATGAGGGGATTGAGTCTTTCATTAGTAAGTTCAATATCATTAATATCATTAATATCATTAATATCAATATCGTTATTGATGACATGCATGGGGGGATCGAGCCATTCATTAGTTTAATATTAATTATATCGATATTAATATTAATATGGTTATTGATGACATGGGTGAGAGGATGGAGCCTTTCATTAAACAGTTTAATATTAACTATATCAATATTAATAATAATGTGGTTATTGATGACATGGATGAGAGGATGGAGCCTTTCAATAGGAAATTTAATATCATTAATATCAATATTAATATTAATATCATTATTGATGACCTGGAGGAGGGGCTGGCCCTGTCCATCAGTAAATTTAATATCATTAATATTAATATTAATAGTGGTATAATTATTGATGACCTGGAGGAGGGGCTGGCCCCACTCATCAATAAATTTAATATCATTAATATTAATATTAATATTGATGTAATTATTGATCACCTGGAGGACGGGATGGCCCCATCCATCAGTAAATTTAATATCATTAATATTAATATTAATATCATTATTGATGACCTGGGGGAGGGGATCAAGTCATTCATTAGTTTATGATCATTAATATCAATATCAATATCCATATCAATGTCATTATTGATGACACAGATTAGGGGATCGAGTCATTCATTAGTTTATGATCATTAATATCATTAATATCATTAATATCAATATCGTTATTGATGACACAGATGAGGGGATCGAGCTGTTCATTAGTCAGTTTAATATCACTAATTAATATTAATATTGATATCGTTATTGATGACCTGCAGGAGGGGATGGCGCCGTCCGTCAGGAAATTGAATTCTGGGATTCTGGGAATTCTGGGAATTGTCTGAATTCTGGGATTCTGGGGATTCTGGGAATTATGGGATTCTGGGAATTGTCTGAATTCTGGGATTCTGGGAATTCCCTGAATTTTGTGATTCTGGAAATTCTGTCAATTCAGTGATTCTGGGAATTCCCTGGATTCTGTGAATTCTCTGAGTTCTGGGATTCTGGGAATTCTGAGAATTCTGTGAGTTCTGTGATTCTGGGAAATCTGTGAATTGTCTGAATTCTGGGATTCTGTCATTCTGGGAATTCCCTGAATTCTGAGAGTTCTCTGGATTCTGGGAATTCTGGGAATTCCCCAAATTCTGTGATTCTGTGCCCGAACCGGGATCCATTCCCATGCCCAAATCCCTTTTCCCCTTTTCCCCTCCGGGGCTGGGTTCAGCTCTCGGGGCTGGGTTGGGCTCGGGGGCCTCTGGGGCCTGTCCCAGCCCCCCTGGGAAATCTGGGAATGCTGGGAATGCTGGGAATGCTGGGATTGCTGGGAATGCTGGGAATGCCGGGAATGCTGGGAATGCTGGGATTGCTGGGAACGCTGGGAACGCTGGGAATGCTGGGAATGCCGGGAATGCTGGGAATGCTGGGAATGCTGGGAACTCTGGGAATGCCAGGAATGCCGGGAATGCTGGGAATGCCGGGGTTCTGTGAACGCTGTGAGTTCTGGGATTGGCAGCAGGCCGATATCGCGACAGGCCGATATCACCAGAGGCCACTATCGCCACAGGCTGATATCGCGACAGGCCGATATTACGACAGGCTGCTATTGTGACAGGCCAATATCGCAACAGGCCGATATCACGACAGGCTGATATCACGACAGGCTGATATCACGACAGGCTGATATCGCGACAGGCTGATATCGCGACAGGCCGATATTACGACAGGCTGCTATTGTGACAGGCCAATATCGCAACAGGCCGATATCACGACAGGCCGATATCGCGACAGGCTGATATCATGACAGGCCGATATCGCGACAGGCCGATATCACGACAGGCCAATCTCAGCGCTACCATGACGAGCCAGTATCGCTGATATTGCCATATTCTGATATCGCTGCTATCATGACAGGCGCTATCGCGACAGGCTGATATCACTGCTATTGTGACAGGCACTATCACGACAGGCCACTATCGCGACAGGCCGGTATCGCTGTTATCGCGACAGACTGCTGTCCTGACAGGCTGGTATCACGACAGGCTGATGTCACTGCTATCGTGACAGGCCGGTATCACGACAGGCCGGTATCGTGACAGGCTGGTATCACCAATATCACAACAGGCTGATATCGCGACAGGCTGATATCGCTGCCATCATGACAGGCCACTATCGCGACAGGCTGATATCACCACTGTCGCAACAGGCCGGTATCATGACAGGTCACTGTCACCTATATTGTGACAGACTGCTGTCATGACAGGCTGATATTGCAGCTATCGTGACAGGCCAGTATCATGACAGGCCCATATCACGACAGGCCACTATCGTGACAGGCCAGTATCATGACAGGCCCATATCACGACAGGCCACTATCGTGACAGGCTGATATCACGACAGGCCGATATCACAACAGGCTGATATCGTGACAGGCCGATATCGTGACAGCCCCTCCCCTCCTCTCTCTCTCTCTCTCTCTCTCCCCAGGCGCTGTCGCTGCTGCTGCTGCCGGGGCTGGGCCGCAGGGGGACGGTGACAACAGCGACGGCCACCAGGGCCAGCAGCAGGGACAGCCCCAGGGACAGCAGCAGGGACAGCACCAGGGACAGCACCAGGGACAGCACCAGGGACAGCACCAGGGACAGCACCGGGGACAGCACCGGGGCCACCATGGAGGGGACACCCCCAGGGACAGCCCCAGGGGGCGCCTGCGGCACCGGGAACGGCACCGGAGGGGACAGAGCTGGGGACACCAGGGGGGACACTGGGGGTGACAGCGGGGAGGTCTCGGCCGCCTTCGTCACCTGCCCCAACCTCAGCGTGGCCACCGAGCTGGCCAGGTGACAATGGGGACAATGGGGACAATGGGGACACTGGGGACACCAAGCTGGCCAGGTGACAGCAATGGGGACAATGGGGACACTGGGGACACCGAGCTGGCCAGGTGACAGCAATGGGGACACTGGGGACAATGGGGACACCGAGCTGGCCAGGGGACAATGGGGGCACTGGGGACACCGAGCTGGCCAGGTGACACCAATGGGGACACTGGGGACACCGAGCTGGCCAGGTGACAATGGGGACACTGGGGACACTGGGGACACCGAGCTGGCCAGGTGACAGCAATGGGGACACTGGGGACAATGGGGACACTGGGGACACTGGGGACACCGAGCTGGCCAGGTGACAGCAATGGGGACATTGGGGACAATGGGGACACTGGGGACACTGGGGACACCGAGCTGGCCAGGGGACAATGGGGACACTGGGGACATTGGGGACAATGGCGACACCGAGCTGGCCAGGTGACACCAATGGGAACGTTGGGGACATCGGGGACACGAAGCTGGCCAGGTGGGGACATTGGGGACACTGGGGGTGGCACTGGGGGGACAATGGGGGGACACCGCACCGGGCAGGTGACAGCAGGGCACACCTGAGAGCCAGGTGACACCAGGGTGGCACTGTCCCCAAGGGTGCCTGGGAGAGGTGACACAGGTGACAGTGGCCCTGTCCCAGGGGGTGACACAGGGAGGTGACAGGTCACACAGGTGACACACTCAGGTGACACTCAGGTGACACACTCAGGTGACACGGGGTGGCACAGGGTGACACACAGGTGACACAAGTGGTGACACAGGTGACACTCAGGTGACACACACAGTCACACGGGTGACACAGGTGGTGACACACACAGGTGACACTCAGGTGACACACACAGTCACTCAGGTGACACTCAGGTGACACACTCAGGTGACATGGGGTGGGCACAGGGTGGCACAGGTGACACAGGTGGTGACACAGGTGACACTCAGGTGACACACTCAGGTGACACAGGTGACACTCAGGTGACACACTCAGGTGACACGGGGTGGCACAGGGTGGCACAGGTGACACAGGTGGTGACACAGGTGTCCCCTCAGGTCCCTGGTCCAGCAGCGTTTGGCCGCCTGCGTCAACATCATCCCTGGAGTGACCTCGGTGTGAGTGGGGACAGCGCGGGGACAACGGGGACAATGGGGGACACGGGAACATTGGGGACATTGGGAGACACTGGGGGGACACTGGGGACAACGGGGGGGAATTTGGGACACTGGGGGGACAGAAGGGACGGGGACATTGGGACATGGGGGACATTGGGGACAGGGGGATAACGGGAACAAGAGGGGACATTGGGGACAGCAGGGACAGGGATAGGGGGACACTGGGGATGAGGGATAACGGGGACAGTGGGGACACTGGGGACAGAGGGACAGCATGGGGACAGAGGGACATTGTGGGGGGATAGAGTGGGGACAGGGACAGGGGGACATTGAGGACAGGGTGACATCACTGGGGACAGTGGGGACAGAGGGGACATGGGGACAGCAGGGACAAAGGGGGGACACAGGGGACAGCAGGGGGACAGAGGGGACAGGGGGAGGATTGGGGACACTGGGGGGACAGAGGGACGGGGGACAGAGGGGACAGAGTGACACCACTGGGGACATTGGGGACAATGGGGACAGCAGGGGGACAGTGGCGACATTGGTGGGAGGACATTGGGGACAGAGGGGGGACAGTGGGGACAGGGGACATTGGGGACAGCGCAACATCATTGGGGACAGAGGGGACATTGGGGGACAGGGGGGATGGGTAGGGGACAGCAGGGACATTGGGGGGGACGTTGGGGACAGAGAGGGGACAGCAGGAGGACATTGGGGACACTGGGGGATTGGGGACACTGGGGACAGGGGGACAATGGGGACATTTGGGGACACTGGGGACAGGGGGACATTGGGGGATTGAAGGGGTTGGGGACAGTGGGGACAGGGCCCGGGCGGCGCCACCGCGGTGTCCCCAAGGTGTCCCCAAGGTGTCCCCAAGGTGTCCCCGATGGTGTCCCCAGGTACACGTGGCAGGGCAAGCTGGAGGAGGACAGCGAGGTCCTGCTGGTGAGTGACGGCACCGGGGCCACCCGTGTCCCCAAGGTGTCCCCAATGTCCCCAAGGTGTCCCCCAATGTCCCCAATCCCCCCAATGTCCCCAATTCCCCCAATGTCCCCAAGGCGTCCCCAGTGATGTCCCCACTGTCCCTGAAATGTCCCTGGGCTGTCCCCAACGTCCCCTCACTGTCCCCAGTGTGCCCCCAATGATGTCCCCATTAATGTCCCCAGTGTCCCCAAACCCCCTCAGTGTCCCCAGTGTCCCCCCCAGTGATGTTCCCAATGTCCCCAAGGTGTCCCCAATCCCCCATTGTCCCTGATGTCCCCAGAGTGCCCCCTGCGGTGTCCCCAATGTCCCCAAGGTGTCCCAGTGCTGTCCCCAAATGTCCCCAATGTCCCCAAAGTGTCCCTGGGGTGTCCCCAGGTGTTCTCAATGTCCCCTCACTGTCCCCAGTGATGTCCCCAGTTTCCCCATTCATGTCCCCCCAGTATCCCCAAGGTGTCCCCAGTGATGTCCCCCAGTGTCCCCAAAGTGTCCCCAATGTCCCTGAAGTGTCCCTGGGGTGTCTCCAATGTCCCCCCAGTGTCCCAAATGTCCCCAATCCCCCGATGTCCCCACAATGTCCCCATCATCCCCAGTGTCCCCCCCTGATGTCCCCATTGTCCCCGCCAATGTCCCCAGCGTGTCCCCAGTGTCCCAAAGGTCCCTGATCCCCCTGATGTCCCCAATGTGTCCCTAATACCCACAATGTCCCCCCAAGGTGTCCCCAAGGTGTCCCCAGTGATGTCCCCAATGGTGTCCCCAGTGATGTCCCCCAATGTCCCTGAAGCGTCCCTGGGGTGTCCCCAGTGATGTCTCCCCAGTGTCCCCAAGGTGTCCCCAGTGATGTCCCCACTGTCCCCAATGTGTCCCTAATCCCCCCAGTGATGTCCCCAGGCTGTCCCCAAGGTGTCCTCAATGGTGTCCCCAGCGTGTCCCCAATGTCCCTGAAGCATCCCTGGGGTATCCCCAGTGATGTCCCCACTGTCCCCCAGTGTGTCCCTAATCCCCCCAGTGTCCCCAATGGTGTCCCGAAGGTGTCCCCACTGTCCCCAAGGTGTCCCCAAGGTGTCCCCAGTGATGTCCCCAGTGATGTCCCCAGTGATGTCCCCAGTGTCCCCAAGGTGTCCCCACTGTCCCCAAGGTGTCCCCAGTGATGTCCCCAGTGATGTCCCCAGTGTCCCCAAGGTGTCCCCAAGGTGTCCCCAATGTCCCCAGTGATGTCCCCAGTGATGTCCCCAAGGTGTCCCCAAGGTGTCCCCAATGTCCCCAGTGATGTCCCCAATGTCCCCAAGGTGTCCCCAATGTCCCCAGTGATGTCCCCAAGGTGTCCCCAAGGTGTCCCCAATGTCCCCAGTGATGTCCCCAATGTCCCCAAGGTGTCCCCAATGTTTCCAATGTCCCCAAGGTGTCCCCAAGGTGTCCCCAGTGTCCCCTCCCTGTGTCCCCCAGATGATCAAGACCCGCAGCTCCCGGGTGCCGGCGCTGAGCGACTTCGTGCGGTGGGGACGGGGGGGAATGGGGGGGACAGGGGGGGTTTGGGGGGGCCTGGGGGGGTTTTGGGGGGATTGAGGGGGAATTTGGGGGTTCCAGGTGGGATTTTGGGGGTCCTGGGGGGTTTGGGGGGTGGATTTGGGGGTTCCTGGGTGGGATTTTGGGGGGTCCTGGGGGTGTTTTGGGAGTTCCAGGTGGGATTTGGGGGGTCCTGGGGGGGGGGTTTGAGGTTCCCAGGTGGGATTTTGGGGGTCCCAGGGGATTTTTTGGGGAGTTCCTGGGGGTTTGGAGCAGATTTTGGGGCTCTCAGAGGAGATTTTAGGGGTTTTGGGGGGTCCTTGTGGGATTTGGGGGCCCTGCGGGGGGATTGAGGGGGAATTTGGGGGTCCCAGGTGGGATTTGGGGGGCCCTGGGGGTGTTTTGGGGGGCCCTGGGGGGTTTGGAGCAGATTTTGGGGGTCCTGGGCAGGATTTTGGGGGTTCCCAGGTGGAATTTGGGGGGTCCGAGGTGGGATTTGGGGGGGTCCTGGGGGTGTTTTGGGAGTTCCAGGTGAGATTTTGGGGGTCCCAGCTGGATTTTGGGGGTTCCCAGGGGATTTTTTGGGGGGTCCTGGGGGGGGTTTGGAGCAGATTTTGGGGGTTCCCAGGTGGGGTTTTGGGGCTCTCAGAGGAGATTTTAGGGGGATTTGGGGGGGTCCCAGGTGGGGTTTGGGGGCCCTGGGGGGGATTGAGGGGGAATTTGGGGGTCCCAGGTGGAATTTGGGGTTCCCAGGTGGGATTTTGGGGGTCTCAGAGGAGATTTTAGGGGGATTTGGGGGGTCCTTGTGGGATTTGGGGGTTCCTGGGTGGGATTTGGGGTTCCCAGGTGGGATTTGGGGGGGTCCTGGGGATGGTGCTGGGGGATTTGGGGGCATTTAGGATTTAGGGGAACCCGGGTGGGTTTGGGGCAGATTTTGGGGGGTCCTGGTGGATTTTTGGGAGCCCTTGGGGGATTTTGGGGGGCTCTGGGGGGGATTGGGCAGATTTGGGGGTCCCAGAGAGGATTTAGGGGGTCCTGGGGGGGATTTGGGGTGAATTTGAGGGGTCCCAGGTGGGATTTGGGGGATCCCAGGTGGGATTTTGGGGGGTCCTGGGGTTTTTTGGGGGGTCCCAGGTGGGATTTGGGGGTCCCAGAGAGAATTTAGGAATTTAGAATTTGGGATTTGGGGGTCCCAGGGTGATTTTGGGGGCCCTGGGGGGGATTGGGGCAGATTTTGGGGGGTCCCAGGTGGGATTTGGGGGATCCAGAGGGGATTTTTGGGGGGGACTTTTGGCATTTTGGGGTTCCTGAGTTGGATTTTTGGCATTTTGGGGTGACCGAGGTGGTTTTGGGGCAGATTTTTGGGATTTTGGGGGGGATTTTCGGGGTGACCAAGGGGGTTTTGGGGTTCCCCAGGTGCCCCCACCCCCACGAGGTGCCCGAAGGGATTTTGGGGTTCCCAGGGCCATTTTTGGGGGATATTTGGGATTTTTGGGGGGGATTTTTGGGATTCCTGGGGTTCCCGAGTTGGATTTTGGGGGATTTGGGGTTTTTGGGGTTCCTCAGTTGGGTTTTGGGGTGACTGAGTTGGGTTTTGGGGATTTTGGGGTGACCAAGGGCGTTTTGTGTCCCCAGGAGCCACCATTGGGATTTTGGGGAGGATTTGGGGATTTTGAGGGGCATTTTTGGGATTTTGGGGGGGATTTGGGGATTTTTGGGATTTTGGGGAGGATTTGGGGATTTTGAGCGGCATTTTTGGGATTTTGGGGGGGATTTGGGGATTTTGGGGGCATTTTTGGGGGGATTTGGGGATTTTGAGGGGCATTTTTGGGATTTTGGGGAGGATTTGGGGATTTTTGAGACGGATTTTTGGGATTTTGGGGGGGATTTGGGGATTTTGAGGGGCATTTTTGGGATTTTGAGAGGAGTTTTTGGGATTCTGGGGGGGATTTTGGGGTCCCCAGGTGCCCCCACCCCTCTGAGGTGCCCGGGGGGTTTGGGGGTTCCCAGGGCCGTTTCTGGGGAGGAAATTTGGGATTTTCGGGAGGATTTTGGGGGTTTCGAGGTTCCTGAGTTGGGTTTTGGGGTTCCTGAGTTGGATTTTGGGGTTCCTGAGCTGGGTTTTTGTCCCCAGCTGCCCCGACCTGCACGAGGTGCCCGAGGGGATTTGGGGGCCGGTTTTGGGCAGAATAATCTGGATTTTCAGGGCAATTTTTGGGGATTTTCAGGGCGATTTTTGGGGATTTTGAGGGGGATTTTGAGGGGGGTTTTGAGGGGGTTTTGGGGTGACCCGGGTTTGTTTTGTCCCCAGGAGCCACCACCCGTACGAGGTGCCCGAGGTGGTGGCGCTGCCGGTGGCGCAGGGGAACCCCCCGTACCTGCGCTGGGTGCGCGACAGCGTCCCCCCATGAGGGGCCTGAAAACAGCCCGAAAACTGCCCAAAACCTGCCCAAAAACTGCCCAAAAACTGCCCAAATCCCCCCATGAGGCGCCCAGAAACAGCCCGAAACCAGCCCAAAACCACCCCAAAAACAGCCCCAAAACAGCCCAAAACCACCCCAAAACAGCCCCAAAACTGCCCAAAATCCCCCCCATGAGGCGCCCAGAAACAGCCCAAAAACCGCCCCAAAAAGTGCCCAAAACCAGCCCAAAAACAGCCCCCAAAACAGCCCAAAACCAGCCCAAAATCCCCCCCATGAGACAGCCAAAAACACCCCAAAAACCAACCCAAAACCAGCCCAAAAACAGCCCAAAATCCTCCCCTGAGACACCCCAAAAACTGCCCCAAAACCAACCCAAAACACCCCCCAAAACAGCCCAAAATCCCCCCCTGAGACACCCAAAAACCAACCCAAAAACAGCCGAAAATCCTCCCGAGACACCCCAAAAACTGCCCCAAAACCAACCCAAAACCACCCCAAAAACAGCCCCAAAACCACCCCGAAATCCTCCCACAAGACACCCAAAAAAAACCCCAAAAACACCCCAAAAACCACCCCAGATCCCCCCCATGAGACACCCAAAACCACCCCAAAAACCGACCCAAAACCGCCCCAGATCCCCCCCATGAGACACCCAAAACCACCCCAAAAACCGACCCAAAACCGCCCCAAATCCCCCCATGAGACACCCAAAAAACCCCCAAAAACACCCCAAAAACACCCCAAAAACCGCCCCAGATCCCCCCCATGAGACACCCAAAACCACCCCAAAAAACCCCAAAACCACCGCCCAACAAACCCCAAAATTCCCCAACAATCCCCCCAAAAATTCCGCCCAAAATCCTCCCTAAACCTCCCGAAAATCCCCCATAAAACCCCGAAAATTCCCCCAAAATTCCCCCTGGAAAAAACCCCAAATTCCCCAAAAGTCCCAAAAAAAATCCCAAAACCTCCCAAAAAATCCCAAAAATCCCCCAAAAAATCCCAAGAAATTCTCCAAAACCCCACCAAAAATCCCCCAGAACCCCCCCAAAAAACCCCAAATCTCCCAAAAATAATAATAAAAAAAATCCCCAAGAAACCCCAAAATCCCCCAAAAGTCCCAAAACTCCCACAAAAAATCCCCCAAAATTTCCCGAAAATTCCCCCAAAAATCTCCCAAAATCCCCCCAAAAAGTCCCAAAACTCCCACAAAAAATCCCCCAAAATCTCCCGAAAATTCCCCCAAAAAATCCCCCCAAAACTCCCAAAATTCTTACAAAAATCCCAAAAAAGCCCCAAATTCCCCCAAAATCCCGGGGTCCCCTCAGAGGGGAGGGGTTTGGGAATAAAGAGCAGAAACCCCAAAATTTGGGGGGATTGGTTTGGGGTCGGGGGGACCCCAAAAAAGGGCGAGGGGACCCCAAAATTTGGGGGGAATTAAGGGGGGGACCCCAAAATTTGGGGCGGTGAGACCCCAAAATTTGGGGAAGTTAAAGGGGAAAAAAACCCCAAAATTTGGGGCGATTTAAGGGGGGAAACCCCAAAATTTGGGGAAAGTTTAGGGGGGATTTGAGGGGAAACCCCCAAAATTTAGGGGGGATTTAAGGGGGGGACCCCAAAATTGGGGGAATCGGGGGGGGAACCCCAAAATCTGGGGGGGGATTAAATGGGGGAAACCCCAAAATTTGGGGGGGTTAAAGGGGAAAAAACCCAAAATTTGGGGGTACCCCAGAATTTGGGCGGAATTTGAGGGGAGACCCCAAAAATTCGAGGGAAGTCGAGAGGGGAACCCCAAAATTTGGGGAGGGGGGGGGAAAGAGGCAAACCCCAAAATCTGGGGGGGATTTGAGGGGAAAACCCCAAAATTTGAGGGGGGGGGACCCCAAAATTGGGAGGGAAAACCCCAAAATTGGGGAGGGGGAAAACGGGGAGACCCCAAAATTGGGGAGGGGATTCAGGGCGGGAACCCCAAAATTTGGAGGGGATTCAGGGCGGGAACCCCAAAATTTTGGCGGGAACCCCAAAATTTGGGGAGGAAAAAGGGGCGGGAACCCCAAAATTTGGGGGGGGGGGGGGGAGGAGAGAGAGACCCCAAAATTGAGGAGGGAATTTGGGGGGAAACCCCGAAATTTTGGGGGGGGAAAAGGGCGGGAACCCCGAAATTTGTGGGGGAGGGGCCTCAGAATTTGGGGGCGGGGCTTAAAGGAGGGGGAGGGGCTTAAAGGAGGGGGAGGGACCCCAAAATTTGGGGGGGAAACCCCCAAAAATGGCGCGGAGCCGATGCTGGAGCCGTTTATTGGAGGAGGGGACGAAGCCACGCCCACAAACCACGCCCAGTCAGCCACACCCATTTAGGCCACGCCCACCCGGCCACGCCCACCCCAAATCCACCCGGAAATGGGGAAATCCAAAATTTCCACCCCAAATTTGGGGGTTTGGGGTTGGGGCGGTGGGGGAGGGGTCCCCAAATTTTTGGGGGGAGGGGCCTGAGGAGGCCACGCCCCCACCGGAGGCCCCGCCCCCTCCTCAGCTGCTCCCAAGTGACCAAAATGAAGAATTCAGCCCAAAATTTTGGGGGGTTTTGGTTTTTGAGGGACCCCAAAATTTTGGGGTTGGGGGGGAAGGGGGTTTCCCCTAAAAATTTGGGGGCGTGGCCAGATGAGGCCACGCCCCCTCCAGGCCACGCCCCCTCATCTTTTATCCCTTTAAATAATCCCCAAAGTGACAAAAATGCAGATTTTCCACCCAAAATTTTGGGGCTTTTGGGGCTGGGACCCCCAAATTATTTTGGAGGGGTCCCCTAAAGTTTGGGGGCGTGGTCAGAGGAGGCCACGCCCCCTCCAGGCCACGCCCCTCCTCTATTTTCCCATTAAATATCATTAAAGTGACAAAAATAGAGATTTTCCACCCAAAATTTTGGGGCTTTCGGGGCTGGGACCCCAAAATTTCGGGGGGTGGGGTCCCCTAAGTGATGGGGGCGTGGTCAGAGGAGGGCACGCCCCCTCCAGGCCACGCCCCTCCTCTATTTCCCATTAAATATCATTAAAGTGACAAAAATAAAGATTTTCCACCCAAAATTTTGGGGCTGGGACCCCAAAATTTCGGGGGCTGGAGTCCCCTAAATGATGGGGGCGTGGTCAGAGGAGGGCACGCCCCCTCCAGGCCACGCCCCTCCTCTGTTTATCCATAAAATATTCTCTAAAATGACAAAAATAAAGATTTTTCACCCAAAATTTGGAGTTTTTTCGGCTGGGCCTCCCCAAATTTTTTTAGGGTGGGTCCCAAAATATTGGGGGCGTGGTCAGAGGTGGCCACGCCCCCTCAAGGCCACGCCCCTTCTCTCTTTTCCCCTTAAACCTCTTCTAAAGTGACAAAAATAAAGATTTTTATCCCAAATTTTGGGGGGGTTTGGGGCTGGGATCCCCAAATTATTTTGGGGGCGTGGTCAGAGGTGGCCACGCCCCCTCAAGGCCACGCCCCCATCCTCTTTTTTCCTGTTAAATTCTCTCTAAAGTGACAAAAATAAAGTTTTTTATCCCAAATTTGGGGATTTTAGGGCCTGGGAGCCCAAAATATTTTGGGGGGGGTGTGTCCCTAAAAGTGGGGGCGTGGTCAGATCTGGCCACGCCCCATTCAGACCACGCCCCCTTTCTTTTCCCCCTTAAGTCTCTCCTAAAGTGCCAAAAATGAAGATTTTTCACCCAAAATTTTGGGGCTTTTGGGACTGGGACCCAAAAATTGTGGGGAAATCTCCCCAAAATTTGGGGGCGTGGTCAGAGGTGGCCACGCCCCCTGCAGGTCCCACCCCTTCTCTTTCTCTCCCATTAAATCTCCCCTAAAGTGCCAAAAATGAGGATTTTTCACCCAAGATTTTTGGGGTTTTTGGGCTGGGATCCCCAATTATTTGGGGGTGGGGTCCCCTAAAAATCGAGGGCGTGGTCAGAGGTGGCCACGCCCCGAGCTCCACTTTAAATCTCCCCTAAAGTGCCAAAAATGAAGATTTTCCACCCAAAATTTCCGGGGTTTTGGGCTGGGATCCCCAATTTCTGGAAGGGGCGTGTCCCAAAATTGGGGGCGTGGTCAGAGGTGGCCCCGCCCTACGCGGGTCACGCCCCTCCCCTATTTTCCCTTTAAATCTCCCCTAAAGTGCCAAAAATGAAGATTTTTCACCCCAAATTTCGGAGTTTTTGGGACCTGACCCCCAAAATGTTTGGGGCGGGGTCCTGTGGGATTGGGGGCGTGGTCAGAGCCCGCCCCGCCCCCCCACTCCAGCAGGTACTGAACGGTCCCGTCCAGCGTCACCCGGCGCGCCAGGACACGGGGGGGCGGGGCTTGGCCAGGGGGCGGGGCCTGCGAGGGGGGCGGGGCCTCGGGCTCCGGGTCCGGCCTGGGAGAGCTGGGGGAGGGGAGAGACCAGTAAGGACCAGAACAAACCAGTATAAACCAGTATAGACCGGTATGGACTGATACAGACCAGTATAAACCAGTATGGACCAGTACGGACCAGTAAGGACCAGTAAGGACCAGAATAAACCAGTACGGACCAGTATGGACCAGTAAGGACTGGTATGAACTGGTATGGACTGATATGGACCAGTATGGACCAGTATGGACCAGAACAAACCAGTATGGACCAGTATGGACCAGTAAGGTCCAGTAAGGACCAGAATGGACCAGTATGGACCAGAATAAACCAGTATAAACCAGTATGGACCAGTATTGACCAGTGAGGACCAGTATGGACCAGAACAAACCAGTACAAACCAGTGAGGACCAGTATGGACCAGTAAGGACCAGTATGGACTGATATGGACCAGTACGGACCAGTATGGACCAGTATGGACCAGAATGGACCAGAACAAACCAGTATGGACCAGTATGAACTGGTATGGACTGATACAGACCAGTATGGACCAGTATGGACCAGTATAAACCAGTATGGACCAGTATGGACCAATATGGACAGTACGAACCAGAACAAACCAGTATAAACCAGTATGGACCAGTATGGACCAGTATGGACTGATACAGACCAGTATAGACCATTGTGGACCAGTATGGACCAGTATGGATCAGTATGGACTGGTATAGACCAGTATGGACCAGAACAAACCAGTATGGACCAGTATGGACCAGTGTGGACCAGTATGGACCAGTAAGGACCAGAGCAAACCAGTATGGACCAGTATGGACTGAT